GATCTGCTACAAGGAAAGTGCAGTGGGAGCACCACGGTGGCCCCTCCTAGCCCAGGGCTGGACCAGAGGTCTCAGACCTTGCCTGCAATGGGGACGGTGCTACCATAAATGTGGCTGAGCTGATTCAGCCAGCCCTGATGGCAGAGGATCTGCTGGCTGGGCTCAATCCTGACCTTGCCTCTCACCGACCGGACCCCAAATGCCCCAGGACGGCCACCATCCCCTGGCAGGGAGCCGAGGATGCTCAGAGGCTGCATCCTGCACTGCCAGCTGCTCCTGCCATTGCTCCATCACTTCTCCCTCCCCGGGGCATCCCCCCTGTGCTGGGCAGCAAGCAGGTGTCCACCCTCTTACCCGTTTTGTAGTAGCCGGGCAGGATCAGGCTGACTTTGATGCCCCAGGGCTGGAGCTCGCTGCGGAAGGTGTCCATGAGCAGGCTGAGCGCTGCCTTTGAGGCGCCGTAGGCTGCCAGGCAGGGGAAGGGCAGGTCACCTTGCAGGAGAGAAAAGGCAAGCGAGTGGGTCACAGGCAGCTGCCTGCACGGCTGGGAGCAGGCAGGGACTGTGAGGGCTGGTGTAGGGCTGCACTCCTGTCCCCTGCCTGAAAAAAAGGACTCAGGGTGCCAGCCTGGCATGGCTGGGGAAGGGAAGGTGCCAGGGAGGGTGGGAGCCGCACCACACCATGGGGAAGCTCAACCTGCACCCAAATTTGGGGTGCCAGGGGTCTGGCAGGCCACTGCTCACCTGCGGGGCTGCTGACGGTGACAATGCGGCCGCTGGCAGCACGGAGCAGGGGCAGCAGCCCCTTGGTGAGCTCCAGCGAACCGAAGAAGTTCACCTCCATGCAGGCGCGAAACTTGCCCGTCGGCGAGAGCTCGGCGTCGGCGATGGTGTCGTTGAAGCCGGCGTTGTTCACCAGGCCCCAGAGTCCTGCGGGGATGGGGGTGCTCAAAGAAGTGACCCAAATGGGAGACCCCGCCACCCTGGTGCTGCTCCTCAGCTCACAGGAGTCCTGCAGGGGAGTTATGGGGTGCCCCGGGACAAGCCCTGTTAGCAGAGGCTATGGGTGCCTGCAGGGATGCAGCCCGTGGTGGGGGGACATGGAGGCTTGGCACTGCCACGCTGGCCTCAAGCTGGGGGCCAGGGAGCTGTGTGGGGTCCTGGGGGTGCCAAGGGCTCGTACCTGCGCTGTTGGTGTGGGCCTGGATGTGCTGCAGGACACGCTGGATGTCCTCTGGCTTGGTCAGGTCCATCTGCAGCAGCGTCAGCCTCGGCGAGCAGCTCCTGTGCAGCTCCTGGGCGCCGGCGCTCTGCAGGTCCAGCACGCTGGCGAACACCCGAAAGCCCATGGCGTCCAAGTGCTGCGCCGTCGCCTGCCCAAAGCCCGAGTCACAGCCTGCGAGAGCCGAGAGGAGCCCTGCAGTGGCCGGTGAGAGCCGCTGGCCGGCTGTCCCTAGCCACAGGGACCCCCTGGCTCTGCCTCTCCATCCCAGGGACTGGTCCCCTGCTCTGGGCTTGCCACCCAGCTCTCGACCCGCCAGGGACACGACCCAGCCCTGGGGCATTCGCAGGTCACAGGAGCTGCTGTTTTCGCTCCTATCACACACAGGAAGAAGAAAACACTCCCTTATCTGCAACCACATCACCCCAAGCACCGCTCTGATGTGAGGTGCAGATACAAGCACAGGCATGACACGGCCAGGCACTGGGACGACCCAGAGCCCAGCAGCAACGTGGGGTGGGAGCCATCACCCCCGAAATGTCCTCCAAGAGCTCCACTGGGCACCACTGAGAAGGGGCACAAGGCACTGCCTTTTCCTGAATGCGTTTTTGCCTCCCAGAAATGGTTGCCAAGGCACAACTCCCTCTCACCTGGCCAGGGTGCAGAGGGGATTAAAACTGGGGAGAAAAAAAAAGAATCCTGGTCTGCTCCTTCCACTCCACAACCTTCAAGGAAGTATCTGACAGGGACAGCCCACGCTGGAGAGCACTGGGTGCTGCCAGACACGATCCCAGCATCACCTCCTCCATCTCTGCTGGAGCAGGGGCACTGCAGTGACACTGTCACCCACAAAGTGGCTGTCGGGGTGGCTGAGGGACGGCCTGGGTGGGAGCTGGGTGTCACGGGGCCAGCGGCCAGGCCAGAGTGACCGGGATGCAAACAAACAACAAGGTACAGGCTGTTCCCAGGCCGATGGCAGCGCTGATAGCAGGGGAGCCCGCACCGCTGCCCAGCCACATTAACCATTAACAGGGAAGTGCTGCCGGGGCAGCCCCGTGAGCCCCACACCCTCCTGCCTGGCACCCTTGAGTGCTCCTTAGGACGTCCCAAAGAAAAGGCCCTATCCGGCACCTGGGCCAGTCCCCAGCTCAGCTTTACTTTATTGCTGTGTCAGAAACCCATAATAAAGCCCCTGGCCAGAGGCCAGAACAGTAACACACCTTCGAGGTGCTCAGCTGGCAGGAGGGGGCTGCAGGGACCTCTCCTTTCCCATGCAACACCCAGCACCCATCATGGGTCCACGCCGGGCAGGCTCAGCATCACCTCTAGCATTGCCCCTGGTGCTGCAGAGGATGCCACAGGCTCCCCGGGCAGAACACACTCCCCCGTCCCCCCCCCCCGGGAACATGTCGTGCTGCCAGCAGCCGGCCTGATAAGGTGCATTTCTCCTTTCCCAACTGTGCAAGGGAAAACTGCAATAAAGATAAGGTTTAAAAAATAAAAGTGCTCGCGGCCACAGCCAGAGCCCTGCCTGCTGCCGGGACACGGTTACCTGCGCTGCTCCTGCCTCAGCCGGAGAGCAAAACATCCAGTCCCACGACGCCCCCTATCCCCCCCTGAGCCTCAAAACACCGGGAAACAGCCCAAAAACCTGAGGGAGCCAGGCTTGCTGGCTTGTTTTGGGCAAGCCTGGCGAGGAAGGAGCAAACCCGGCCACGTGCTGTCTGAGCCAGGCAGGGTTTGTTTTGCCTTAGAGGAGCGGGGCAGTGGGAGGGTTTGTTTCGGAAGTTTTAATTTATTCACACACACCAAAAAAAAAAAAAACCCCAAACCCTACTTGGAGGCTGGCGGGAGGCCTGGGGCCAGGAGGGCGAGGATGCTCTGGTGTTATTTAAGGTCTCCGGCACTGCTCAGCTTCCCAGCCGCTGCTCTCAGGCATAGCCAAGAGTGCAAGGA